CCCGCTTTGTGACCACCTTGTTCAGCTCCAGTCCAAGCATGTGGTGATGGACGACACAGGGCGACCCGCCAAGGAACGAGTTTCCGGAGAGCTTACCTTAGAGAAGGCCTTTGGTACGTGCGTTGCTCGAGCAAGGTAACACCCCCGTCGACTCCGCCGCTTCATTATGACCCCGGATCTCTGCCATCCATTGTATTATGGTTTCGAATTATCATCGTCGTTCGCGCTTTACCCTCACCAAAACAAGGTTGAAAAAATGGAGTATTAACAGTAATATAGACTTTAATCACAGCAGCTTTTGGTGCTTGCCGCCGTCTTCAGGTTTGAAACGTAAAGTGAACTCTCAACGTGAGAAGCGCGGAGGGGTGCCTGCAAAGGCTAACCCCGGGGATAAGCTCTTCCATCATGTCGACTACTCCCCGGGGTATCACAAGACCGGAGAAATCATTGTCGGGAGCTCATTTTACAGGTAGGCGGGGTCCGTTCCTTGACTTCTGTGGCTTATCCACGACATATAGAAACGTATGTAGCGCCTCTCCTCTGGTCGACAGCGGCGATATTTGTGCGGACGTCATGTCTACCTTCGGCGAAGCTTGACAGGTGCTATCCCGGCGGTCAGATTGATCTGACAACAGAGGTTTTCATGCGAACGCGTGCCCTACGGGACGTACTTGTTGACATACTTGTTGACATACATACTTGTTGTCCATTTACCGTCCCAGCCCTTCCATGCGAAATACACGCGGACACACAACAGGACGAGACACCGTGACGGTAGTGGGCACGTGGGCCCTGGGCAGGCCTCCCGCCCCGCCCCCGTCCCGGAAGAAGTCGGGTACGCCCTTGCCTACCGAAAGCCGAAGATGACCTTCAACGAGATGCGACAGGCCGCGCAATACGTGGAAGATCTGAGAGGAGTGCTTGGGCTCACGGTAAGAGAGTACTGCAGCGGCAAACGTATATGCCATGCGTCAAGTATGGGGTAGCACTCTCGCGGTTGGTCCATCCATACGTATTGTGCTTGCTAAAAGTAGGAAATGTGTCGCGGTTGGTCCTTACGTATTTTGCTTGCTAAACGCAGGAAATTCTATCGGCGATGGCCGTTATGTCATTCAACCAACAAGGCTGTTGGTGTAACCTAGACTACAGCAGTAGCCTCGACGAGTTACGTGCGTGTCGGGTATAACGGCCAAGCACTTAACGATAAGCTTTCCTGGAGCACCATGTCAACGTCACCCTTCTCCCCGCAAATCTTGATGATGCGTGCGGCTTCCAAAGTGCCATCCAACAATAAATACTACATGTCTCGCCTACACGACAGGAGGAAGCACCCGTTCCCGAAGCGGCCGCCGGACACGAAGCGGGAGCGAGCTGGGAAGAGAGAACCGGAATGCATACTTGGAAAAAAAAAGAAAAATCATCGCCAGATTCAGCAAGCGTAGAGTGGGCTGCTGAAGAGGCAACCGCTGGAAAATAGTCCTAATACCGAGACCTCCTACGGTCGAGACGACCACTGCGGTCGCCAAGCGTTGCGAGCTTCGGAGCAAGGACGCGGCATACACACACACAACCAGGAAACCCGGCGTCGTTGGTTCGCCGCCATATCATGAACAATTGTGGAGCTCCAACTTTGTGACGCCCTCGTGTTGAAGATTCTTGGCGCAACCTTGCCCCCCGACCCCCGTTGTCGAACATGTAGACGAAGTCAGACACGCCACATTCATCACAAAAGGCCTTGTCTCGCTTGTAAGCAACGACAGTAACAGACATGAATCAATGTTGCTCCGATAACCCCTACTCACCAACCAATGCTATCCATTGTCCCAACGTCAGAGACCGTGATAAACAAGACGGCAAGTGCCGGTTTTCGGGGGTGGTATCCAGAGCACACCTCCATCACCATCCGCCTCGACAAAGGAAACATCCAACGATCCACCATCCATGTTTTACCATATTTCTGCCGGGTAACCATGTGCGTGGCTCGAAAGCATTGGCGCCGCAATCGAGTGCGCCTGTCCCCTCCGCCATCATATCACTTCCTTCTTTCCCTTCCTCTCATTCTCACGATGCAGATAGGCCAATGTTCTTCTTTGTGGACATTTTTATTTTCACCCTCGACCGGCCGTAGGACCGACACCAAAACCACACGCGTGGGTCGCACTCCAACATATATATGCGACACCAAGCACAACTCCGTGCATGCACGGGATTCTCTGAGCCAGACCCATCTGGTAGGCAAGCGGATCAGTCACACGCCACTGTTTACCTTTCTCTTCTGCGATACTACGATTCCATCCCTGCCCACAACGAGAAGAAGAGTAACTGCCACTGCTGTGCGCTCGTGTACATGTTTTTCTTCCCAACCAGCATCACAGAGCAACACACAACCAACCATCGACAACAACCGAGCTCAATTAACAACCTGTTGGTTTTTAGTTTTGGTTTGGGGACGCAAAATATCGACACAACAATCACACCAACCAGCCCAAAAATACACATTCGCGTCGCAGCAGCTACGTCACAGCTCTCCGTCTCTTCCTGGGTGGGCATGATCATCACCATCGTCGCCACTTCTTTCGGCCTTGCCGTCATTGTTCGCTGCCCCCCCCCCGGCGCCGCCGCCGCCTGACCGCGGCGCCGTCTTCGGAACGTCCGCGGCGCAACGGAAGCCTTGATTCGAGGTGCCGCTGTCGACATCGGACTTGGTGCGGGCGGCCGGACGGTACCTGAGAAGAAGACGAAGAGGACACGTTCCGCCGGAAAAAACGGGTCACCGGCACCGCCGGGTTATGCAACCGCTAAGCACGTTCGTTGCTTTGTTCACGCGCTGGGTAGGTATTTCCTTGTCGTCGTGTTTCACGCGGCCGGGGAGAGAGTGCAAAAAATGTCGTGCTTTCAACACCCCCTGCAGCTACCCTTGGGATATTGCCGTTACAAAGGTAGCGTAGGTCGAAGGGCTTCGTGTTTACCGCAGCTGGCGCCATATATACCGCTTGCTGGTCGCGCAGAGTGCCGGGATGGGGGGGAACCTCCGGCCTGGGCGCGTACCTGGCGGGACGAGCCCCTCTTTAGTCATATACCAATAGCCATGGTGCGTGGCGGCAACGGTAAGCATATGAATACGTACGACATCATCGCAGGATGCGAAAAAAAAGGCATAGTGTACTCGCAAAGCCCGTTGCTGGTATCCAAAACACTGGGCCGAAGACACGTGCAAAGTTGCCCCGCAAAAAAGCTCTCGAGGTTCCACCATCCGCGTCATGCAGGCACACGTGTACGGTACCGCAGCAATCGCTTTCAGAGGAGCCCTCCGCCAGCGACAAAACATCACCCACAAGCGACCCGACCACGCTTGTACAGCAGCAGCCAGACGATGAGCAGGAGCTGCTCCATCTCAACTTTTCGTCGGTGGTCAAGAGAAAAGGAAATACAACATCTACGTGTGTAGGGCCGGGCTGTTTTCACACCTGTAGCAGTAAGTGTGGTGGCACAGGAAAGACCCCCCCTTCTTGGTCTTCTCCGTACCCCTTTTGGGGCCCCGTGGATTGTTCTGACAGGGGAGGAGGGAGGGAGGGCAAGGGAGTGCCAAGAGTAAGGAGGGGAGGGGGGTGGTATACCTACCGACGGCCTTACTTGCAAGGGTCAAGCCGACTCTCAGTCCGGCTTGGTTGCAATTTCAGCGGTGGTCCATGGTTTGACGTTCCTCCATGAGACAAGAAGCATTTGCATTGGTCAGCCGATCGGCGCGGTCAATGCTGCTCGAAGAAACACACACGAAGTTCACCGGACACGTGCCCTCGTCCTCTGGCGAGGGTTGGGGTTTGCAACCTCGGCTAATCCCCCATCTCATTGAGCAGGCAAGCATCCGGGTTGGGTGGGTGGGGCTAAGCTCGACCAAATCTTGATCCCATCCCGCCGGCCGCACCTGCTTGTACTTGGAGCGATCGGGGGTCCACCAGTCCTCTACCCACTCCCACGCGTTGCCGACGGCATCTCTCAGACCCAGGGAGTTCTGCGGAGGGAAGGCGTCCACGGGGGACGTGTAGGGGAAACCATCCTCTGCCAGGTTGAGGGTCGGAAACGTGCCCTAGTAGGGGGAGGAGGGAGAAGCAAGGGGAGAGGTTGAAAGAAATGGTTTAGCTGCACAAACGGCGGGCGGTGGGGGGG